ATAAACTGATCAGGACTGTGGTAAAACCCAGTGAACGTGACCTCTACAGTACACATCAGCCAAATTATACATATATAAGAATAAATATATGTGTGTATAAATACAAAGGTAGAAACAGCACATTAACACAACACGTTTTCATGTCCTGAAGGTTCCAGGACATGGGGTGGATTTTTTGTTGCTTTTTTTTATTATTTCAGTTCAGCAGTCAGCAGAGGAGGACGGGCACTTTCAGTGCATGTGGCCGTGTAATGTGCTATAATAATAAAGGTTTATGTACCTTCACTGGAGAAGTACTGTCTCAGCAGCTGCTCCTGCGTGCCAGCAGAGAGAGACAGGATGTTGATGGCCGCTGCATCAGTCATAGCTCCACCAAATCCCCTGATCTTCTGGTACTTCTGCTCACGACTGATGGTCAGTCTGAGGCCTGACGGAACACAGAAAGGTTTATTTATGTTGAAACAACTAAGACCTGTGGATTTACCTGAAGGCGAATAACAAAACAAAGGTTCAAACAGAAGCTGAGTGAGAGTGAAACAGGTGATAAAAGATAAACTATCTATAAACATGTAAATGTTAGGGTTAGATGAAAAAAATTAAGCAAACATGAAAACTTAAAAATGTAAGAAAAGTAAACAGAAAAGTGAACATTAATTCAAACATTAAACAGAAATGTAAATATTGTGGTAAAATGAAAACATTAGACTAGTCTTTCACATTTTCTGAAGTACAGCACATATTTCACATGAAAATCCCACAGCACAACTTCAGACAAATGTCACAAATATGTAAATATAACCAAATATAAGGACTGTCTAGTTTAGTCACCCTAACTAAACAGGTCCAGGATGAAACCTGGGCCTGTTTAGTTGAACACAGTGCTGATATACTCACAGCAATTGAAGAAAGAAACTTCTTCAACGGCTATGATGCTTTTTTTCTTAGTTCTCATAGCCATCTGTAGCCACACAATTGAAGAAAGACAAACTTCTTCAACAGCTATGACGCTTTTTTTGTTCCTTAGTTCTCATAGCCATCTGTAGCCACCTAGTGGAAGAGTGTTTAAGTGTCTAACTGAAGGACTGATTTTTTTTTTAAATCATTTTGTTCATTCAATTTAAAAAAAACAAACTCAGGTTTGAGTTGTTCTTGCACTTTGTGTCCCTTATTTCCAGAAACGGGGTTCATACAGATACCACAACCCAGATGATTACCCACATGACTCACCTGTGCCGCTGCTGTTCCCCTGGATTCGACCCAGCTGTGGTTCCAGTCTGCTGCCTGACATGCTGCTCAGGTAGGAGGAGAACTTGCCCAGACTGGGCAGGGCGGCCGAGCCAATATCATCACACTGAGTGGCATTACACTCACACACCACCGAGTCAAATCCAAAGTTTCTGGCAACACATTTGTTGCGTCCTGTCAAGGAACGGAAAGACGGATTAGTACCAGAATCAGTACCAGAATCAGCTTTATTGGCCAAGTGTGACGCACAAGAAGTGACATTAACACTTACAAACATCCACAGGATGGAATTCCTACTGTGTTTATATTTGTTTGTATGTAAAAAAATGTGTATAAAATGTTTTGTATGTAATGTTGTGGCGTTACCTGTAGAGGCAATCGCCTGAGCTGTGACGTAAATAACGGTTACAAGCAGAGCAAGTGGCAGTGAAGACATTCTCCCTGAAATTTGAAAATGACTCGAATGAAAAGACCGCGGGTTCAACCGTTCGTAAATGTTAAACTTTGTGTTTTTCTCACAGGTTAATGTCGGAGAAGCTCACCTGGTGGAACAACGTCGGACTCACCGTGTTGTCCGGTTCACAACAGCTGTCTTTAGATTGAACTTTTGCTGTCACGTGACTCTGGTCATTGTCACGTGAACAGTCGTGCCATCTTTCAGGCCACATGAAGCAGTCACAGAAGGTTTTTTGTTTTAAACAACTTGTTAATTCGCTGAATCAGAAACGGGTTTCGTTGTATTTGTTTTGTAGTGTATGTAAAAGTATTTTATCGTTTCCCAATCTAGTTTTTCACCCACCCGGAAATGCAGTAATGTATGCAATACCAATGCTGACCAATAGGGGATGCTTAAAGCAATAATAACCGCCTGCTGAATCATGGTACGCCAGACGAGTTTTCAGAATAAAGTCGTTTTAGTGGCGTGGTTGCCGGAAGTTAAGATTCAACTAGATTAAAAAAAAATCATCAAAACAAAGTCTTACATTTACGGAAACTTTTTTTTTATATGGAAAAAGGGAGCCACGTAATATTACGAAAAAATACTACGTGTTTATGAGACTAAAAAAGACGGAAAAAATGGGTCACGATTTTAATCGAAAGTCTTAATATACGGAAAATAAATTAGTTTGTGAAGGTGAAGGTGCAATATTTCGAAAAAATTCGAAAGGATTTATGATTTAATGTTTAATGTTATGAAAAACGTAAAGTCAGTGAGAGTAAGCTGTAAATATACGTGCTTGTTTTTATACGTTTACATCTTAATTCTAAATGATACTTTGTTCTAGTGAATTATTCATTCTATTATTGACCCACCATATGTATATTTATTTATATATATTTTTTATATTTGTTCAATATTACCAAAGTAAACCCTGTGAAACCTGTTGCCCTGGAAAAGCAGCATCATTTTAACACGATGTACATGTTGATTTTTAAAATACAGACACCAAAAACAAACTTAAACTTCAAACAGCTGGAGTTTGTTCAACATTTTATTATCAAATTGACACATGTATCATAATTTACACATTATAGACATGGACACTTAACTGTCCTAATATTTCCAGGTCAAAGTGTTTTGATGGGACTATTGGAGACTTCACAGGAACGAAG